AGTTCTGTTTAGCTGTGCATACAACTGAGGGATTTTATATTTTTATCTTTTTTTTTAATGTTCTGTGATTATTTATGATTTTAATGCTTTCTTGTTTTGTTCAGCACTTTGAGTTGCCTTGTGTATGAATTGTGCTATACAAATAAACTTGCCTTGCCATGATTCAAACAGCACTGGTGTAAACAGAGACACGTGACTGACACAGGTTTAAAGATAAACTCGTAAATCACCGGTTTGTAAAAGGAGTCACAAGTCTCTGTTTGTGGTTATCTCCTGCCACAGTCAGCCTGAGATCAGAGAATGCAGAGAAACGGCTTTAAACATGTGTCAGGAGCAGTTTGCGACGTCACACGCCCTTAATAAAGCAGTGTTGCAGTTTGTGGATGACTCTCAGCTGTTCCCTTGACATTAGCACAGGTACATGTCATTCCCTGAGCTCCAGCAGCGAAACTAACCCGAGTTAAAGTGGAAATACTGGGTGAAAGTGGGGTCCTGCTGTGTTACCGCCTCTGAGCCCCACAAAAGCCCAGTTCTGTCGTGTTGTCGTCTGTTGTGTTTGTTTGTAGCCGCGGTACCTGCTGTGCTAGCTCGGCAGCTGTCACACCATGCTCCTCCCGATCCGTGGCACCGCTGAGGTCCGCAGAGGTCTGCAGAGCCAGCGCCAGTCCCGGGTCTCACTGCGCCAAACCCGGGTCCGAGGCTCCACTGCTGCGTGCCAGTCCGAGAACACCGCACACACTCCCGCACGACGCGTCACACAGCGCAGCAGCGGCAGAGGCGGCGGAAGCGGCAGACTCCACAGGCTGCACGAGCCGCGGCGGAAGTGAGCAGCGGGGAGCAGAACCGCAGGGAACACAGGGGACGAGACGAAGGTTCCGCTCTGAACAAAACGAGACACGGAGCTGCTACAATCAATGTTTTAATGTTAAAATTGTTTTGTTTTCTCAGTGTATTCTGATTCCCAGGCCAGCTGAGAGTCCCTCCATCGTGCTCTGGGTCTTCCCCTGGCCTCCAGATGCCCTCTGCATATGGAGCAGCAGCAGCTCTACTCCAACCCTAACCCTAACCCTTCCCATGTGACTGAACTCCTCCCTCTTTCTCTAAGGGAGCTTCAATCCGCGATCTCGTTCTTTTGGTCATTGTCCAAAGCGTATGACCAGAGGTGAGGGAGGGGACGTAATGCTCTGACTGCAGACGCTGCTCAGTTAGAAAATCAACTGGTTGTTTACGTTGTCATTTTCTGGTGATGAACCTGGAATAATATCTTCAATTAAAAATTAATGTAAAACAAGCGAAGCTTAACTCCTTATGCTGCCACCAGAGAGAGCAGCGTCTGCAGTCAGAGCTCCCTGTAACTCCCTATGCTGCCACCAGAGGGAGCAGCGTCTGCAGTCAGAACTCCCTGTAACTCCCTATGCTGCCACCAGAGGGAGCAGCGTCTGCAGTCAGAACTCCCTGTAACTCCCTATGCTAACACCAGAGGGAGCAGCGTCTGCAGTCAGAACTCCCTGTAACTCCCTATGCTAACACCAGAGGGAGCAGCGTCTGCAGTCAGAACTCCCTGTAACTCCCTATGCTAACACCAGAGGGAGCAGCGTCTGCAGTCAGAACTCCCTGTAACTCCCTATGCTAACACCAGAGGGAGCAGCGTCTGCAGTCAGAACTCCCTGTAACTCCCTATGCTAACACCAGAGGGAGCAGCGTCTGCAGTCAGAACTCCCTGTAACTCCCTATGCTGCCTATAGCGGCTGCCTGTTGCCTTAAGCCGCGGAGAGGTGAGTTGGGACCGATAAAAGTGTATGACGCGCTAAAATGAGTATAGAAAACAAACGGAGAGGCTGGATCCAGTTGCGATGTCATTTAATAATAATAAACGCTGCGGTCACAGGCCAAAATGCGTGGTGAATATACAGAAAAAATGGTTGATTAAACTTAAGCCAGAAAAATAGCAAAAATAAATCAAACAAAACAATAATAGCGGTCAACAAAAATGATGGCCTCCCAAACAGACCTCTCCTCTTTTTTTTCCGTGCCCCCGCAGGTGTATGCCCATTCATAATCTCATGTACTGGGCCCAAACACACATGCACACACACACGCCTACCACCACACACACACACACAGGCGCTCTCACTCACACGCCCACACACACATGCTCGCCCACAATACATTACTCTTCCATCAGCCAAGCATTCATTTACTCACAATGTGCCCAAACGTGTCTCCTACACTGCCACCAGAGGGAGCAGCGTCTGCAGTCAGAGCTCCCTGTAACTCCCAATGCTGCCACCAGAGGGAGCAGCATCTGCAGTGAGAGCTAAGAACAAAAGAGTGAGTCCAGTTTCTGTTCAAAGTCTTTATTCAAACTGTTTTCTGCTGATTCCTAAAAACTCCAACGCGTTTCCACAAAGAAGTTTATCCTGAAAAAAGAGAAGAGTTAGTGTGTGTGTGTCCGTGTGTGTGTGTGTGTGTCTCTGTATGTCTGAATGTGGGTGTGAGTGTGTGTGTCGGAAAGTGTGTTTGTGTGTCACCTTGACTTCGGTCCTCAGATCCATAGATTGGATCAAAGCTCCTGGCTGCAGTTCTCCTAAAGGAAACGGGTAATCTGTGCCCAGCATCACACGCTCCTGTAACAGAGTACTGTCCTGTAACAGAGTACTGTCCTGTAACAGAGTACTGTCCTGTAACAGAGTACTATACTGTAACAGAGTACTGTACTGTAACAGAGTACTATACTGTAACAGAGTACTGTACTGTAACAGAGTACTGTACTGTAACAGAGTACTGTACTGTAACAGAGTACTATACTGTAACAGAGTACTCACACTGTAACAGAGTACTGTACTGTAACAGAGTACTATACTGTAACAGAGTACTGTACTGTAACAGAGTACTATACTGTAACAGAGTACTGTACTGTAACAGAGTACTGTACTGTAACAGAGTACTATACTGTAACAGAGTACTCACACTGTAACAGGACTGTCCTGTAACAGAGCACTGCACTGTAACAGAGTACTGTACTGTAACAGAGTACTGTACTGTAACAGAGTACTATACTGTAACAGAGTACTCACACTGTAACAGAGTACTGTACTGTAACAGAGTACTGTACTGTAACAGAGTACTATACTGTAACAGAGTACTCACACTGTAACAGAGTACTGTACTGTAACAGAGTACTGTACTGTAACAGAGTACTGTACTGTAACAGAGTACTGTCCTGTAACAGAGTACTGTACTGTAACAGAGTACTGTCCTGTAACAGAGTACTGTACTGTAACAGAGTACTGTCCTGTAACAGAGTACTGTACTGTAACAGAGTACTATACTGTAACAGAGTACTGTACTGTAACAGAGTACTGTCCTGTAACAGAGTACTGTCCTGTAACAGAGTACTGTCCTGTAACAGAGTACTATACTGTAACAGAGTACTGTACTGTAACAGAGTACTGTACTGTAACAGAGTACTGTCCTGTAACAGAGTACTGTCCTGTAACAGAGTACTGTCCTGTAACAGAGTACTATACTGTAACAGAGTACTGTACTGTAACAGAGTACTGTACTGTAACAGAGTACTGTACTGTAACAGAGTACTGTCCTGTAACAGAGTACTGTACTGTAACAGAGTACTGTCCTGTAACAGAGTACTGTACTGTAACAGAGTACTGTCCTGTAACAGAGTACTGTACTGTAACAGAGTACTGTCCTGTAACAGAGTACTGTCCTGTAACAGAGTACTGTACTGTAACAGAGTACGTGACCTTTGGGGACACACACATGTGTCATGTGACTTGTGGGGACACACACATGTGTCATGTGACTTGTGGGGACACACACATGTGTCATGTAACTTGTGGGGACACACACATGTGTCATGTGACTTGTGGGGACACACACATGTGTCATGTAACTTGTGGGGACACACACATGTGTCATATGAGTTGTGGAGACACAAGGAAAGATATTACAGTCTGTCCTTTTAATTAGTTTGTAGTCACAAAAGGCACTGCAGGAACACACTCATTGAATGTTATTCCAGTAATTCACAAACAATAAATAAAAGTCTCCCCCACCAACTGCAGCAGCGGTCCCAGGGCCCTCTCCCCCCCTCCCCCCCCCTCTCCCCCTCTCCCTCCTCACCTCCCCCACCACCTGCAGCAGCAGTCCCAGGACCCTCTCTCCCCCCTCTCCCCCCTCACCTCCCCCACCACCTGCAGCAGCAGTCCCAGGACCCTCTCTCCCCCCTCTCCCCCCTCACCTCCCCCACCACCTGCAGCAGCAGTCCCAGGACCCTCTCTCCCCCCCTCACCTCCCCCACCACCTGCAGCAGCAGTCCCAGGACCCTCTCTCCCCCCTCTCCCCCCTCACCTCCCCCACCACCTGCAGCAGCAGTCCCAGGACCCTCTCTCCCCCCCTCACCTCCCCCACCACCTGCAGCAGCAGTCCCAGGGCCCTCTCTCCCCCCTCACCTCCCCCACCACCTGCAGCAGCAGTCCCAGGGCCCTCTCTCTCCCCTCACCCCCCTCTCCCTCCTCACCTCCCCCACCACCTGCAGCAGCAGTCCCAGGACCCTCTCTCCCCCCTCTCCCCCCTCACCTCCCCCACCACCTGCAGCAGCAGTCCCAGGACCCTCTCTCCCCCCTCACCTCCCCCACCACCTGCAGCAGCAGTCCCAGGGCCCTCTCTCCCCCCTCTCCCCCCTCACCTCCCCCACCACCTGCAGCAGCAGTCCCAGGGCCCTCTCTCCCCCCTCTCCCCCCTCACCTCCCCCACCACCTGCAGCAGCAGTCCCAGGGCCCTCTCTCTCCCCCTCTCCCCCCTCACCTCCCCCACCACCTGCAGCAGCAGTCCCAGGGCCCTCTGGTCGTGGGTGAGGGAGTCTGTGTAGAAGGAGCCGCAGTATTTGAGCGGAGACTCTGTGTTTTCTACCGCGCACAGATCTGGACGAACTGCGTGACCGTGAGCAATTCTCCCCACTGTGTACGGGAAGGAGCCCC